ACCTCAGAAAGCAGAAATCAAATCCTCAACCTCTCATGAATTAATTTCTCACAACTTTAAAACTCCAATTATGCAAAGCAAGTCATAAAGAGCAAAACGGCTTTTTCCAACTCAGGTCTTCTTCTGGTGTTAATTCATATGATTAAATGAAATGGTATGTATATTAAATTAAGTATTAATACTATAAAGTTTCTTATTTCCTACCATATCATTCCAACTATATATTTCTGCATCTGATATACTGACTACAATTATTATTTTAGCCAACTTTCATTTATATCAATGTGCTATCATGGAATAACATAAATCATCAAATATTGCTAAAAGTAAAATTTTTACAAAACAGCAGCCCCTTCTGTTCATCTTCCTACCCCCATTATCCACCAAGCAACCAACTTCAGTTTTGTTAGCTATTTTCTCAGATTTTACTTTCTTATTTCTAAACTAGAGGCCATCCAGAGCGGGATACTGTGTAAGACTCAGACCCACAGCGCCGCTGGGACTCAGACTGAGTCCTGCCCAGCCAGGCGGGAGGCAGGACCCAGAGTCAAGTATCCGCCCACCCGAGCGTGCCTCCTGGTGACCAGTCTTTGGTCGTTCCGTGTTATGGTGTCACAGCCACAAGCCTTTTATTAGTATAGATTATGTATACTGCTATCCTTGACTCATCTGAATAGACTTATGTGATTTCCAATTATAAATAATGATTTTTAGCTCATGTATATGTCCTTTCTCCCTTCCACCAGCTTATCAAAATTATATCACAAATATCTGTCAAGTCTATATTCAGTGTTTTTATAATTTTGACAGTGTATAGATATAGTATGTCATTTATTTTCGAGCCAAATAGCATGATTATGTAACCTCTCTTACATAACTTGTTTTTTTCTAGAGTTGGTCATTGTCTCATTTTAAAACATTTTCTTAATTTTCTCTGAACATCTGACTAAATATTCCCACATCCTCAACAGCTCTATAAAGTTAAATTTTAGACAAAACATGTTAGGTAATAGGAGAATTATCTATTGCCTCCCACTGCAATCTGGGTGGCTCAGTGGGCCTGGAATTTGCCATTGCTCTGGGATTCTCTTTGCCTCCATTGGACACTCTGTTTGCTCAGTCCCATGTTTCCCAGTAGCTCACCATCCTCAAGTAGCTTCCTGAGAAAGGTGATTGGAAAGCACATTTAGAATTCTTGTTTAAAACATAATTTTCCTTTAGAAATTTGAAGATCTACCTCCATTATCGGCTATTTCCCATTTGAGAAATTTAATGCTATATTATTCACAGTCTTCTATTCATTACCTCTCCCCACACTTCTCTTCACCCCCACCAGTGCTTTTAGAGTCTTATTTCTATCCCCAGTGTTTGAAATTCAAGAAAATTAGCCTTTGTTGTAGTTTTTTTATTGTCTGTTGAGGTTTTGTTTGTTTGTTTGTATTTTATTCTTTGGGCTGAATACCCAAAAGGCCTTTTTGAGAAGATGCTCATGGTCTTCAGCTCAGGAAAATTCTTTTATGTTATTTTATTGATACTTTTCTTCACCATTCTTTTCTGCTTCCTCTGAAACTCAAATTATTTAGCCAGTAAGCCTACTGTATTGGTTAACTAATTTCTTAAATTTTCTCTTTTTGCCCAATTATTTGCCATTTTGCATTACAGTTTGGATTCTCTAGCTTTTTCTACTGCGTTTTTTTTATTATTATTATTTCTGCCACCCAAATGTATTTTCCTAGTGTTTTTGTTGTTATTCTCTGAATATTCTTTTTAAATCTACCATTTTGTTTCTGTTTTATGAATACAATATCCTCTCTTAATTATCTGAAAAGAGTAATGACTCTTTTTATTTTTTTTCTCCCTTCATAGTGTGAGGTGAGCGCGCGTGTGTGTGTGTGTGTGTGTGTGTGTGTGTGTGTGTGTGTGTGTGTGTTTGTTGTTGTTGTTGTTTTGGTTGTTTTTTTTAAAGGCTTATTGGGAGTATATTTTATATGCCATACAATTCATACATTTTAGTGTCTAATTCACTGATGCTTAGTATATTTATTGAGTCATTTCATCATTCCTGCAATTCAGTTTTAGCGTATTTTCATCGCCCCGAAAAGATCTTTGGGCAAATTTGTAGGTCATCTCCTCTCCCAACCCTATTCCCAATCTGGTTGACACAACCAGTGAGCCACGTGGCTGGGCTGATCTGCTTTTTATCTCTACACTTTTGCCTGCCTAGACATTTCATATCAATAGGAGCATACGATACGTGTTCTTCTGTGTCTGCTTTCTTTCACTCCCGTGATGTTTTTGAAGGTCATTCTATTGCACAAGTCAGGAGTTCATTTCTTTTTATTATTGAAGCGGATTTCATTGTAGCGATTTTGCTTCGTCATTCACCAGTTGACTAGACATTTGGGCTGTTTGCATTTCAGAGGAATTATAAACATATTTTTATTTTTTAAGATGTATTTTTTATTGATTTCAGAGAGGAAGGGAGAGGAAGACAGAGAGATAGAAACATCAGTGATGAGAGGGAACCATTGATCAGCTGCCTCCTGCATGCCACCTATTGGGGATTTAGCCCACAATCCAGGCATGTGCCCATGACCGGAATCTAAGCCGGGACCGTTTAGTCCCCAGCTGACGCTCTATCCACTGAGCAAAACCGGCTAGAGAACATATTTTTATTTTAATATTTTATTTTGAACTCTGTGTTTCACATTAGAAGGTTTCCCCCAAATGTATGGCACTCGGGCAGTCTGCTCATGTTTAGAAAGCAAAGCCAAACCTTATTTGGAAGCTGTATGTGCGTGGTGGGAGGTGGTGAAGGGGGGCTTGGTTGCCATTCTCTGGGGAAATCCTCACATCATTGTCTCTTGGACTGGTGGAATTTTTCATAAAAGACTCTTCAGTATTTTCTCTTGGGGTGAGGATAATCCTAGCTTCCAGTGTCCCTGGAGTGAAGAGGAAGGAGAAGGCTAAGATGTCACAACTTTTAGGACGTTAACTTTTACTTTATCCCCATTTCCAGGGGGAGATCCTGGCCTCCATCAGCTGTGCCTGTGTCCCTGAGATGAGAGATCCTCTGTGTCATTCTCTTCTACTGGGGAGGTTGCACAGAGCACAGGAAGGCACCTGGAGATCTTTGCAAATAGACTTTCAATCTCTTTTTAGCCCTACCATTCCCTGCTCCTCCTCCCCCTTCCCATGGCTACCTGGTGCCAATTTCTGAGCCTTTGGAGTTCTGCGATGTATAATAAAGTAGGTTACCGCTCTGCTCTGCCCACTGCCTCTTTGGGACTAGCTTTCTTGGACCCATTAATCTACCTACCACTATTCCACCTACTTTACAGCATCCAACATTTTACTGCCATTCTTTTCTTTCCTGGTCAAATTACTCTCCTTTTCACAGCATTTTCATCAGTAACAAAGTATTTATTCAACCAGCCATCTTTAATGAGAATCTCAATTTCATTCTTAATGAGAAAGGAAGCTTTCAGTTCCAAATAAGTTATGTGAATACCTCACTCTCAAAGAATTGCATCATAACTCACCACCCTTTAAATGTGTGACTTCCCCCCAAGAGTACAGAATGGAAGGTGTGGGAAGGAAGAGCTTTGCAATGCCACACCCCAGGCAGGTGGGTAAGGTCAACAGCAGCAATGATGAGTCATGTATAGACCCTTTGTGGTCTGCTCTCAAACATCTGTAACCTTAGCCTAATCATGAGAAAAACATAAGATAAATCCCAGCTGACTATGACTGGTACTTCTCAAAACTGCCTAAGTCATCAGAAAAGAGGAAGGTCTGGAGAACTATCACAGCCAGGAGGGACCTGAAGAGACATGATGAATAAAGATAACACTGTGATGTAGGGGAGACCCGGGAACAGAAAAAGAACATCAGGCAAAAAACTAAGGAAACCTGAATACTGTGTGGACTTCCGTTAGTGGTGATGTATCAGTATAGTTCACTGTGAACTCTACTCTCTTTGCAACTCTTCTGTAAATCTAAAATTGTTCTTTAAAAACCTTCATTAGCGCTGAAACCAGTTTGGCTCAGTGGATAGAGCATCGGCCTGTGGACTGAAAGTTCCAAGTTCGATTCCCGCTAAGGTCATGTACCTTGGTTGCAGGCACATCCCCAATAGGGGATATGCAGGAGGCAGCTGATTGATGTTTCTCTCTCATTGATGTTTCTAACTCTCTATCCCTCTCTCTTCCTCTCTGTAAAAAAATCAATAAAATATATTTAAAAAATAAAAGCATTCATTAAACAATAAAAATAAACAAACTCTGCTCATTTATCCTTTGGCTTTTTATCGACACCTTTATGTCAATAGAAATGTGCCAGAAATGATCATTTTACAATTTGGCTCATTTCTACCTCATACTAAAACTATCAGCAATCTGTTCCAATTCAGGCACTAGAGTATTCATTCCCTTTTCCAAATATGTACTGAGCAAGTACTATGTTTTAGGATACTACCTGGTGCCAGAACTACAGAGAATAATAAAAAAGAACTCCTGGCCCACTAAAGCAGTGGTTCTCAACCTTCCTAATGTTGTGACCCTTTAATAAATATTTGTGTTTTCTGATGGTCTTGGATTCTACAGCAGTGACTCTCAACCTGTGGTTTGCGACATCATAGGTTGAGAACCACTAGCAGGCTCGCCTAAGACCATCAGAAAACAGATATTTACATTATGACTCATAAGAGTAGCAAAATTACAGTTATGAAGTAGCAACAAAAATAATTTTATGGTTGGAGGTCACCACAACATGAGGAACTGCATTAAAGGGTCGCGGCATTAGAAAGGTTGAGAACCACTGTGCTAGAGGCTCACAGTCTACTGGGAACGCGGGCCACTGTTCTTATTTTCCACTGCATTAGAGACACCCCAGCACATTTTGTGCTACTCATGTTTTGAATGCAAAAAAAAAAATAAAAATAAAAAAAATAACAGCTGAAATTCTTCTCCAACTTTTGAAAGCTTTTGTTTAGGTGAGACATGGAGTCCCCGAGAATCACAATACCAGTTATGAAACATACAAGAATGATTAAAAACCAGGAAGAAAAGAGCTTATTGACAACAGAAAAACAGAACTTCCTACTTTTTGACATGACCACACATCCCCTCACCAACAACAACATTAAGCAGCGCCTCATCAAGAAGGTACAGGAAGCTGTTCTTGACAAGTGGGTGAATGACCCTCACCGCATGGACAAGCGCCTGCTGGCCCTCATTTACCTCGCCCACGCCTCGGATGTGCTGGAGAATGCCTTCGCTCCCCTGCTGGATGAGCAGTATGATTTAGCCACCAAGAGAGTGCGGCAGCTCCTCGACTTGGATCCTGAGGTGGAATGCGTGAAGACCAACGCCAACGAGGTCCTGTGGGCGGTGGTGGCGGCCTTCACCAAGTAACTGCCCAGGGGGAAGCCTTCTCTTCCCTCTCAAGTAAACCAGTCGTTTTTCTTCTATTGACTTCTGGTTTTCTGCAATTTATACTTTCCCACACTATAGCTGACTTTTGTTCTGCAACATAATAGGTGGTTTTTCCTTTTACGTGTGTGTGTGTGTGTGTGTGTGTGTGTGTGTGTGTAAGATGTTTCTTTCTAGATCTAGACAAATAGTTTCACTGCCTGTTGGCTTTTCATTCCTTCTTGAGTTTAAGACATTTGCCATTAGCACTCTAACAGGTTTTGGAATTCTATAATGCTAACTTTCAAAGCAACCTTCAGTTCCAAATACACATAATTAGTACCTATTCCATTTAAAATTGTCATCAAGTACAAATTCTTGGAGGGTAGAGGGGGGGCCTGACCAGTGTGGCTCAGTGGTTGAGGGTTGATCTATGAATCCAGCTCAATTCCCGCTCAGGGCACATGCCTGGGTTGCAGGCTTGATCCCCAGTGGAGGCATGCAGGAGGCAGCCACTCAATGATTCTCTCTCATCATTACCATTTCTATCTCTCTTTTTCTCTTCCTTCCTCTCTGAAATCCATAAAATTATTTTTTTTTTTAAAAAGAAGAAGAGGGTAAAGGGGGGAAAAATGGTGATAGAAGGACATTTGATTTATGGTAGTAAACACAATACAATATACAGATGATGTATTATAGAATTGGACACCTGAAACTTATATAATGTTATTAACCAATATCACTCCAATAAATTCAATAAAAAAGTTAAAGAACATTTTTTATATTCTTAAAACATTAAAGCAGAAATCATACATACAACGTGTTTTTTGTTGTTTTGTTTGTTTTTAATAATTCTTTATTGTTGCTGAAACCGGTTTGGCTCAGTGGATAGAGCATCCGCCTGCGGACTGAAAGGTCCCAGGTTCGATTCCAGTCAAGGGCATGTACGTTGGTTGTGGGCACATCCCCGATGGGGGGTATGCAAGAGGCAGCTGATCAATGACTCTCTTTCATCGATGTTTCTAACTCTCTGTCCCTCTCCCTTCCTCTCTGTAAAAAATCAATAAAATATATTTTTTAAAAATAATTATTTATTGTTGACACACAACGTTTTTAACTCACCAAAAGCAAAAGACTGTATCTATTAGGGTACTTGATGCTAGAGCTCAATAGAGATGCATACATTAACATTTCTTTTCCTGGCATTATGCTAAGTGACATAAGTCAGGCAGAGAAAGACAAATTCTACGTGATGCACTAAAAAAGCCAAACTCATGGAAACAGAAACCAGAGTGGTGGTTGCCAGGGACTGGGGGGGTGGAGTAAATGGGGAGATGTTGGTCAAAGAGCACAAACTTCCAGGTGTAAGATGAGTAAGTTCTGGGATCTAGTGTACAGTGCGGCGATTACAGTTAACCACACTGTATTATATACTTGAGAGTTACTAAGAGAGTAGATCTTAATTGTTCTCACCACAAAAAAGAAATGGCAATTATGTGACAGGATAGAGTTGTTAGCTAAGGCTACAGTATAAACATTTTCCAATATAAACAATGTATATATATATATATATATATATATATATAGATATATAATACATATTGTGTATGTCAATTGTAGCTCAATAAAATTTACATTTGTATATTTTAATTATTAAATCATAACAGTAAATTGCTCCATAATGCTGCTTGGATTTGTTATACTTCCCATTTGTGCTATATAGAGTGTGGACCTCACATGAATTATTCCTTGAATTGCTATTATTTCCTAATTTTTATTATTTTTTATTTTATTTATTATTTTATTTTATTTTATTTTATTTTATTATTTCCTAATAAATCCTGATAACTGTGAGGACCAGTCCTTCCTCAAAATTGTGTTGGTGATTCTGAGTCCCGTGCTCCTCCAAGGGAATTTTAGATACCTTAACACGTCTCATGAAATACCCTTCAGGGATTTAGATTGATATGACTTGACTGTGAGGACTTATTTGGAGGAACTGGCATCTTTATGGTATTGGGTCTTTCCATCAAGGAGCATGGCATAATTCTCTGTGGTAAATTAAAGACGGCCACAGAGCCTTTGCAGCTTCTCTATAAGGGGCTGAGTCTGCATTCTGACCTCTTGCATCTGGGCCAGCTTTGCTCTTTGCTCTATCCAGTAGAATGCAGCTGAAGTGATGTCTTGCAAGATCCAGAGTTTGAGACACATAATGTAATATAGTTTCTGCCTTTATTCTCTTGGAATGCTGCCTCGAGACCACCACAGCATAAGGAAGCCCAGGATATAAGAGCATATGGGAAGAGAAACCCAGCTGTCCTAGCTGCGCTGGGCTCCAGACAGCTCACCTACCAACTGGATGCATCTGCGTGTATGAGCCTAGGTGAAAGCAGCAGGGAACTGCTCGGCCAACCCAGAATTACATGAAATGGTGAATTCTTGTTGACTTAAGCCACTAAATTTTGGGGTGTTTTATTCCAATAAAGACTAGTTGAAAGAGAAAATGGTACCTTAAAATGAGGTGCTCTCTAATAAAAACCTAATACATGTGGCATGGCTTTGGGACTGGCTAGTGGATAGAGGCTGGAAGGGCAGCAAGGAGACTGTTTAGTCTCCTTGAAGCTGCAAAAGCAGTGAAGGAACTACTATTGAAGTCTGGAAGGATGGTAAGCTGTGTTTTGTGCTAGTGAAAAAAAAATTGGCAAAACTTTTGCCAACACTACATAAAACAGAAGAGCCACCTGGCCAACCCATAAAATCATGAGACATATTAAACTATTGTTGCATTAAGAGAATAAGTTTTGGGATGGTGTTATATAAAAGATAATTGAGACATTAATGATTTGTGAATCTGAATTGTATCCTCACAAAATGTATATTTTGAAGCCCTAACCCTCAATGTGTTTGTATTTGGAGGTAGGGCCTTAGGGAGATAAAGTTAAATGAGGTCATAAGAATGAGGCCCTAATCTGATAGAATGGGTGTCCTTATAAACAGAAGAGAATAACATGTCTGTAGGTGTTCTTGTTTTTGTTTTGTTTTTTTAAATATATAATGTTATCAAAAAAGGATTATGTTCATTTCAGATTGTTATAGTTTCTTTTCCGACACTAACTCAGCAACATTTATTTTCTATGTTATTTTTATTTAATTTGGAGATAGATATTCACATTTTTCATGAAATAATGAAAGATGTATAGTGAAAAGTTTTGCTGTATCTCCATTCTTTTGTCTTATCACAATAGTGAATATATCATTGACCAATATAGATATTAGCAGATGTCCCTGTAGCTGCCTTTGATAAAAATGTTTCTAAATTTTGTCATTAAAGTTGCAATGTTTTCTATAGGCTTTTTAAAAAAATCTTTATTGTTGAAAATATTACATATGTCCCCCCTTTTTCCCCACTGACCTCTTCTAGCCTACCCTGACCCCCACCCCAGGCCTTCACCACATTATTGTCTGTATCCATGGGATATGCATATATACACATACAAGTTCTTTAGTTGGTCTCTTCTCACTCACCCACCCATAAGAGAGATTAATCAGATTAAGGAAGTTAGCTTCTATCTTTAAATTGCTGAGAGCTTGCCGAAACCGGTTTGGCTCAGTGGATAGAGCGTCGGCCTGTGGACTCAAAGGTCCCAGGTTCGATTCTGGTCAAGGGCATGTACCTTGGTTGCGGGCACATCCCCAGCAGAGGGTGTGCAAGAGGCAGCTGATGGATGTTTCTCTCTCATCAATGTTTCTAACTCTCTATCCCTCTCTCTTCCTCTCTGTGAAAAATCAATAAAATATATTTTAAATTGCTGAGAGCTTATCATAATTAGGAATAGAATTTTATCCTTTTTTTTTTTTGCCTTTTAACATTGAGGTATACCTTATACATACCCTTACATACCATGAAAAGCACAGATCATCAGTGTTTACTTTATGAGTCTTTTAAAATCTTTTATTTACTGACTTTAGATAGAGAAACATTATTTTGTTGTTCCGGGTATTGATGAATTCATTGGTTGCTTCTTGTATGTGCTCTGACCTGAGATTGAACCCTCAATCTTCACATATTGGGAGGATGTTTTAACCAGCTGAGCTACCTTGCCAGCCCTACTTTAGTGAGTCTTGATATGCATATGCCACATACCCCTCTCAAGTCCAGAGCATTCTCCTAACCCTAGAAAATTTGCTTAGGTCCTTCCAGGTATTTCTACTACCTCTGAGACAACCAACCTTTTCATTTTTGAATTGGGTTAAGTAATCAGTAGTTTGTCTCTTTCTTTCTTTTCTCTCTCCTTTGTTTCTGAGTAGTATCCATCACCTGAACATACTGAAATTTACCTAACAATTATCTTGTTGTGGGACCATTTGGGTTGTTTCCAGTTTTGAGTTACATGAATCTACTAAGTTCTAGATGACACTTAGTTTAACATGAGCTTGGGAGTGAGACTATGGACTTATTATTAAATTCATGTCAGAATGTGGAGCTCTGTTGTATAGGCCATTCTTTTTCTCCATTCTAATTTCTTGCCTACATGGTATAAGTATTCTCAGAGAGAATGTGAGTTTGGCTGGAGACAGGAGGAAAAATATTATTCTTTCTTCTTGATCATCCTACACAAAGTAGACAAAACTATAAACCCTGATAATGGACCCAGACTTCCCAATCATCTTTTCAGCACCTTATTTAAAAATATAAACATCATTAAGGATCACAGATATCTGGTTTTCCATCAGCTCTGTTTCAGCCCTATTTCTCATTCTTGCTCCCCAGTGTTTGGTCAATCTTTGGTTCCAAAGTTCTCTAGGGTTCTGTCAGTCAATTATCTTCCTTGCTTCCTGACCAAATTTTCCTCTGGGATCCCTTTCAGCTGTGCCCTTCTCTGCCTTCCTAAATCAATGAAAACTTACCTATCTAGTTTTCAGCAACTGATGGCATCATTTGGGTTTACATATTTTTCATTCATTAACTATGACTATAGAGAAGTCTCAATAGATATACAAAA